GGAGGGAGGGGAAAAATGAGGACCTAATGCTGGGGGCTTAAGTGGAGAGGAAATGTTTTGAGGATGAGGGCAATGAATGTATAAATGCGCTTTACACAATTGATGTATGTATGGATTGTGATGAGTTGTATGAGCCCCTAATAAAATGATTTAAAAAAAAATCACCATTGAGAACTACACCTTGGCCCTGGCTTCTCTAATTCCATCTTCTTCCCTGTTTCTAATGATCTCCATAGCACACAGGACGACTTACCATGCATTTTACCTGTTTCGTTCTCGCTCTTCCCCCACACTGAAGATCAAACCCACGAACGTAGGCATGCCTCTCCTTTTGTACACTAGTGTACCCTCAGTGCCAGTAAACGCAGGTGTCCCCAGGCTTCCTTAATAAAGTAACTCTTCCTTAAATGAAGCTATCAAGTCTATTTCAAAACAAGCCCCAAGCCCATTTACATTTTGTGTTACTATTTATAGATAATCTACTGTCAGTGTCTAAAACAGCACTGGCCAAACTGAGGAGCTATTTGTGGCATTTGGGAGTTAGGATGGTGAATGAAAGAAAATTAAGTAACATCACCTAATTAATAAAGGCCGCTTGGTTAAACAGTCACTGCTTTTTTTTTTTTTTTGTAAATCAATATTTATCTTCTCAAACACTACAGTAGTTGAAAAACTGCCACCCTGCCATGATTTGTCAATCCACTATTGTATAAAGTCTTCATTATTTAGGCGTGCTCCCAGAATTCAAAGGAACCCTGGTGACATAGTGAGTCAGTGTTCAGCTGCTAACCAAAAGGTCATTGGTTTGAACTCACCAGCTGCTGCACGGGAGACAGGTGTGGCCGTCTGTTCCCATGAGAATCAAAGCAGCGGAAAGCATTCAGGAGCAGTTCTACTCTGTCCTATGAGGTCACCTTCAATCAGAGCCAACTTGATAGTAACAGGTCAGTGGACTAGAATCTAAGCTCTTCGAAAACCTTGGCTTGTCCAACATTTTATGTGGTGCTTTCAGCTCAATTTTCCTCATTCACACCAGGATAAAATAAATCTAAGCTCTACATTTAGATACTTTGCTGTTATTCGTTGTTAGCAAATGAATAGATTCCCCATGGTGCCCTCAGGTATAAAACAGAGCAGAATTACTTCTCAGGGTGGTACAGCTGTGTGACTTTTGGGAAGCAAAGTGCCAGGTCTGTCTTTCAGGACCACTCTGGGACATTTGAGTGACCCATGTTTCTGTTAGCAGTTAAATACTTAACTGTTCACACCACCCAGGAACTCCAAACTCAATATTGTCCAGGTGATTCCAATGGAAAGATACAAAAGGGCACAGTAAACCAGTCCTAGAGGGTTCCCAAGGCTGCAAATCTTTACAGAAGCACGCTGCCAGACATTTCTCCCTCAGAGCAGCAGGCAGTCATCAGCCAAATACTCTAACTACCGAGGAGCAAGGGCTCCCCAAGTACAGCCCCCCAAACCAAACTCACTGCCCCAGATTTCATTCCGACTCATAACAACCCTGTGGACAAGGTAGCATGACTCTGAGGGTTTCTGCGCTAACTCTTCACAGAAGTAGAAAGTGTCAGCTTTCTCCTGAGCAGCTGCTGTTCTGAACTACTGTTGACCCTGAAGTACATCCAAATTCAAGCAGTCACTATATTTGATTCCTATTGTTCTTAATTAACATATTTCTGGAAATCACTACTTTGAGAAAGATATTGACCTCAGTGACAGGTTTATTGTGCCAACTGGGCCAAGAGGAATATGTGGGCAGAGTCTGATCAGGTCGCAGCTTGATTGGAGGGTGACCGAGATAAATGAAGACTGCCGGCATCCCATATCTCTCTTGATCCCTGGTGATCAGACCAGTGTGCTGCTGCTTTATTGCCTTTACCTGTGTGCTACACTACCTGTGGGCCATGCCAACCCCTAGATCGTGTTGCTAGAGCTTGATGCTCCTTCGAGATCTGCTTCATCACACTGCTGGTTCGTGCATCGCTGGAGCTTGAGGCTGGTAGATCCTGTCCCCATTCATTGCTTGAGTTCGAAATCACAACAGGTCTGCTACACTAAGCTCCTGTGCTACTGACTATTGCTGACCCACTCTGCTGTCTGCTTCCTTGACCTTGGACCCTGCAGCCAATATGAGTTGAAGGACTTCTAGTATATTAACTGTTCCACGAAAGTGAGTTGAATTGAGCCCTCTCTACTACTGTGTGGACCAATTAGCTAATATATTCCTTCTTGCTGTATAAACCTAGCCTCATATATGTATAATCATAAATGTCCTGGTTTTGTTTCTCTATGGAACCCTGCCTAACACAACCTCTTCGCAGGAAATGACATATATATTTAATGCACCTACATTCAAACTCTTGCCTATAATTTCAGAGTATTCAGAGTCACCTACAATTTAAGGCCTTGAGATGGCGTAGTGGTCTACACACTAAACTGGTACCCCCAAGGGCAGCAGTTGGAACTCACCAGCTGCTCCATGGGAGAAATATGAGGCTGTCTAGCCACAAGAGCAGTTCTACTTTGTCCTAGGGCTGCTATAAGACAGAATTGACTTGACGGTAGTGAGTTTGTGCTCTGAAAGTCTAAGGATATATCCTTAGGTCAATAATCAAATTAAGTAAAATTATACCTTAAAATAGAGTGAAGTATGAGTCAGAACACTAACACTCTTCATATGCAATGTCATTCTGATCTCATCCTCGGGGTGTTGATGTGATGATCATGTCATATTCTTTTGCTCTTTAGACAAAAACTTGATTTTATACCTCAAAATATGCTCATACAGCTTAAAAATAAACTAAGTGAGCCGGAATATTCAAATGAAACTGTTCTTTCTAAACTTTATATCCACAAGAAAGCTTATTTGAAGTATATATAGATTCAGTATTTTTAAAGTTGAACTTTATCTTTTCTTTCCAGCACATAACCATATAATTTTTTGCTTTTGTTGGGAAAATCAGGAGATAGCCAACGAGAGCTCTAATTAAGAAACAGATTACCCTTTTCATCGCTCTGGTTGTCAAAATGTTTATTACATTAGCCCTTTAAAACAAGAATTTGCCACCAGGCAAGGAGAGATGACACTGACATGGCGTCATCAGAAACAGTTACTGAACAGCACATTAACAACTCATGCTGACCTGCAGCTGCATCTGCCAGTTGTGAGAGAGGCACTATCTGTGACATTCTCTGACTCTTCAAAAAGGAAAAGAAGTGTCTCCACAGAGCATTAGCAACAGCAGCTAGGTGGCGCTCTTTAGCTGATAATGAAGTCTGCACAATTAGATCCACATTCTCCGTTTGAAGTTCCTGACACAATTGTTGATGCATACTCCTAAAAAGAAATAAAAATACAGATAACACCCAACAAATGCTTAGGGAAGCCTTCTTTATATATATTTTTGGCTTTTTCAAATGTTGTACCATATGAAAACTGAGGGTAACTTTATATAATTGAAACCTTTATGCCAACACATTATGCATCTCGGTTATTTGATGGATGAATGATGGCATATTAAGCACCATAAAGTTAATGTTAATTACTAATGTCAACCATTAATTATATGCTTTTTAATATGTCAGATCTAAATGAGAAACAGGCAGCTTCAGAATGAGGGTCTGCATTTTGCAACATTAGTATGTCAGTGATTTTACTTACAATGTAGACATGAAAATAATTTTTTAAACCATTTTCAACTGAGAGGTTTCGGTCGTCATGAATTATAAAAAGAGGAAAATAAGTACATCTGGCCTATGTGTGATATTTCAAATTAAAGTCTGTTCTGTGTTCAGAAAACCACACAGGAATCGTGCTAGCATACAAAACGCCTGCCCCAAACAAGCATGCTCATTTTCACATCGTAGACAACAATAAACAGTTAACAAGTTATTTGTCCCCATAAAATAATCCATGAAAGCAATACTGCTTCAAATTGTGATTTATCATTTGCTATTCTCCTCTGCTTCATCCCACTGAAAACCTAGACATTGCTAGATGTTAACAGAAACATGCCTGCAGGAAAACTGCGATGCTCTTTAGAGGCAAGCGTGGCAAGACTGGTCTGCCATACTCTGGACATACTGTCAGGAGAGAGCAGTTCCTAGAAGAGGCTGTCATGCGCGGCAAAGCGGAGGGGCAGCGAGAAAGAGGCAGGCCCTCCATGAGATGGGCTGACACAGCGGCGGCTGCAACGACGACACAGGCAGAGAAACAATGGTGCGGCGGTGCAGCACGCAGCAGTGCTTCATTCTGCTGTGCCTCAGGCCACTCACGAAGGGTTGGAACCGACTCCAATGGCCCCTAACAACAACACGCAGTGCAAGAGGAAAATGCCAACCCATTCTCCTAATAATCTGGAATAGAGAACATGTATGCAACGAGCCCAGAATCAATCACATGACTATTTAAAACCAAATGTATGATCATGATACTCTTCTCATTAAAAAAAAAAGTAGTGCCTCAATTGAAGGATGAAGGGAGACGTCGGACAGGGCAAGATATGACAAAATACCCATTTATAAACTATCAAGGGTTCATGCGGGAGGGGGGAGTGGGGAGGGAGGGGAAAAATTAGGACCCAATGTCGGGGGTTTAAATGGAGAGAAAATGTTTTGAGAAACGATGTACAAATGCGCTTTACACAATTGATGTGTGTATGGATTGGGATAACAGTTGTATGAGCCCCTAATAAAATGTTAAAAAAAAAAAAAAAGAAACACCATCCTCATTCACAATGATGATTCAGAACCTTACACAACTGGTGCTACGACGCAGCCAAGCACAATGGCAACATCATCCAATTCTTCATTACCAGAGTAAATTTTATGTATGTATGTATTAAAATGTATCTATAAGTTTATATGTAATGTTTCAAGCTCCCAATGACAACAAGAATATTTATACACATACTAGTGATAGAAGACAATGAAAATAAAAAGTAAAAAAGAGAAAAGAAAAAAAAAGAAAATGGACATAAATGTAAGAGTGTCATCTTGACCTTCACTTTTTCCAATTTTATCAAAAGCAGGAAAAATATTTCTTTCAACAGTAATAGTATTTCATTAAGGAAAATAACTAGTGGTTACAATGACAAAGAAGGGTTATATTCACTGCAAAGACCTTGTGTTCTCCAGTTTATGTGGAGCAAGGACTGGACCGAACAGTGTGCTCCCGAGCGCATGCACCTAGAGCAACCCTACAGAAAGATCGCTTCTTTTGCAGGTGCCCCATGACTACGCATGGGTGAGTAGTAAACATCATAAGCATAAATTAAATAACTTCAGGACTCAGCCCTTTATATTGGAATTCTTGGATAATCATGTGGCTATAATTAATATCACCCAGTATTTTTAAAAAATGTACACATGCCAAGGGAAAGAGAGTAATAGCAAACAATTCTCCTAAAAGCTAACCAAACATCTGCTATGTGCCCTGACGTCTGTGTAAAAATGTATCTGAGACACTTCAACTTGCAACGAGAGTACCATCTCAGGTGCTTTCACCTTAAGTAGGATTACTATCAAAGCCCCATGTGTAAAAACATACCTGAGACACTTTCAACATGAACTAGCAACTAGAGTACTACCTCAGGTGCTTTAGCTCTGAGTAGGATTAATATCAAACCACTAAAACTTACTCAACTACCAATATCAACATAGTAACATTCCTCAGAACATTTCAATACACCAAAGTCCAAGTAAAATAACACCACTATTCGCTATCCTTTATAGCTTTTCCAAAGTATATTAGTTTTGACGGATCATATCCAACATACAGTAGGATGGCAAGGATGGATTTGGCACCTCACTTTTCCTAAATAAGTCATTTTCTTCACCTAAGTGAAACCTGTTCCCTGAGAAGGGGTAACATTTATGATTAGTCTTTGTGTGTCAGTAAATCTTTTCATTTAAGTATCAGAAAACCCTGAGATGGGTACCATTAACCCTCTTTGTAGATGAAGCAAAATAAGAAAAATCAGAACATTCATATAAAGTAATGCCTTGGTTGTAGAACTTGGTTGTAGATACATGGTTCACTCCAAATTCGTGTTTGAACACCGCCAAGTTCAAGAGATGACATATTTTCCCATAATAATGGCATACTGAATAAGTGGTCCTGAGAACCCCACACTACACTTAGTCATTTTTCCAGGACTTTAAATCACTGTGGAGGTTTCTAACCTTCTTGAATATCCCTGTCTCGGTTATGACAGCACCATCTGATTAATCCAAAGTAACAGTTAGGTCTCTTCGGTGGTCTGGGTTCTTTGTTTTGTGGGTAACAATTTTACACCTTTTGCCACATTAGTCGCGTTAGTCACTTTTTGTTTTTAATGTTGTTAATGTAGATTTAGCCATGCTGTATTCAGCCGTCAAATCAGACAAACCGCCACCGGATTCTAATTTGGCAATTGATTTCATTCTTTGACAGTTCTCTTAGCTTTACTGATGGTATCACTAACTTTCTTTGGAGCCATGGTTACAATATTCTACACACATTAAGGGTAACAAAAAGCCCAATGACCAATGTTTTAACACAAGCGATATATGTTGTCTGAGCAGGAGCCAAATTTAGATGGAAAGGGTCACACCCCTCTACGTCCGTGGAGAGACGTGACGCGTGACTCACTCTTGTCATTCTTCTCCCTTGTAGGTTTTTTCAAGTTCGATTTTTGTTGCAACTACCAAGCAAAGCTACAAACACGGAGCAGATTTTTGTTTGAATTTTCCTGTTCAAGTAATGAAATGTTTGAGCTTAGAGCCTTTGGACAACCAAGGTATCATTGTTAGACAGCAGTGCTGATGACATGGATGGTAAATCATATGCCCAAAGGTCACATGGTTAGAAGGTCTGCCCTCATCATCTGAACCCTTATCACACTCTAATGTCCATACTTTTGTCACCAAGAGATACACACACACACACACACACACACACACACACACACACACAGGATTAATCAATCCCTGCTCAAGCTTTTCTCTCCCTGTTAGGTTAAAGACATTCTAGCACAATTAAGAACACAAAAAAGCTAGAAGAGCCAGATGTAACAGTCTTTTTGAAGAGCCAAGGGGGAGACCAGCATTTAATATTAGGGGAGACTATAAGAAAAGACATCAGGATAAGATGTATTTGAGGCAATATTGAGAATAGCCAACAAATACGCATCACCTTAGACCTCTCCAGAATGCCATGTTAAGGCACCAAGGGATTATAACTAGGACCTACCACAAGATGGTGGTTCCTAGCTGGAAAAAGAAATAGAGAAAAAAAAAAAAAAAGCTAGAGATGAAATCCTGAGAGGCAGCATTAGCCCAGCAAAAAGCAAGTTTCAATTAAGTCTGAGACGCTGACACGAAAGCGGACTTCTTCTGGAAATGTGATCCACTTGGTATTTTGTAGTTGGAAGGAGCTATATATTCTGTGAATATGCAGAATAATTTCTGCTAGATATTTTAATGTTCAAGCTCTTTATTATTTGGATGAGAATGATTATCTGCTTGTTTTAACACAGAACAAGGCAGTTGAAACCTCGTAATAATTGCTCTAAACATGAAGAAGTCAGGGTGATAAATAGGAGTCTGAAGAGAAAATAAAATTTTTGTATTACAGCCAAAATAGTCAGACATAACCATATCTTCTGGAGCAGGAAGCAAATTATGCAAGCATGACTGAAAACTAAAAGTAATGCCTTACATTTGATCACCACATAAGGTATATTCACAAAAATGCAAATATTAAAAGATGTCAATAGAGATAGCAAGATAAACGAAAACACAAAATATGTATGAAACATAATGTTGCTACTGAGTTGATTCTGGCCCAGAGCAACCTTGAGCAGAGAAAAACTGGCCTGGCCTGTAGCTTCCAAAGCGATCATCTTCATGGAAGCAGATTGCCACCGCTCTCTCCAATACAGCAGCTGTAAGCACCAACCCAACCGCATTCAGCACGGATTCTGTGGGCCAGCAAACCCAGTTCCCTGAGGCAGGTGCCCATTGGGACCCCAAGCCAGTAAGCCTCGGCCCAAAGGCACTCAGTTCCACTTCTGTTGGTCAGCTAGTCCAACTTCCCCCAATTAAGTGCTCAGAGGCACACACATCAGTCTTCTGTACAAATGCGATCGGCTTTATTTGCTCCCTAGGTTGGGAAATCCATCACACTATTCCCTGCTCTGGCTCCTGGCTCTGCTGCTGCTCCTCTGATGGTATAGCTATCTTTCGGATCCTGGAAGTTCACTGTACATGGATCGTGGGTCCAGAGGATGTGCTTCACTCCTGACTCTTGCTGGTAGAGTTCCCTCCTCCTGCTTCATAGAAGGCTTATTTTATATG